ATTATTGAGTGAGAGCAAACCAAAGTTACGCGTAAACATGATGACAGGTTTTTCCAGCAAATGTATGCACCTTGCTCCAGTATCATGGCAGGGTTACGTAGCCAGCGTACACATAGTGATTGCCAGGTATTTCTCATTTATACTTATTGAGAGAAATTTCACAGAGACGAATCAACAAACACTGATTTCCAAAAGAAGCGTACAAGTACACGTTACTAATCATAATCATTTTCAAATTCAGACGGGTCGAAGGGATCACATTTCACGAATGTATTGTCCAAGGGTGAACAAATATCGATGTACGCACACGTGACCAAACGCAGGCACATGAAATAATGCATTTAGGGACAAGCGCAACCACGCATTGATACATCGTACTTTTCTGAAATACGGAGGTGATAAATCATTTTAAACTGGTTGGCACAGAACAGACGACGATCAATGACAATGAAATACAGCCAAGTTGTTTTATTTCAGTACTTATTGGTCTCTTCTATCCCAACAATGGTCACCATCCTTACCATGGTCCTGTCGGTGTGTTCTTTCTCGTCGTCATGTGAACCTAATCGAATCGTTAAGCTTTCATTTCACATGATCCTCATGCTAATATCAGGAGTGTCACGTATGTCACAACGCCTTATCGACCTCTAATTTCACCCAGTCACTCATCTATTCACCCACCCACACTAACTTCTATCTCCTCTCTGTTCTCCTCTCTCATTTGGCGCGTTTCTGTCATTCGCCATCGTCTCGTTCCACATCGCTCTCGCTACACCCCCCACACTCACTCGTACTGAACTGGGACCGAATTTCCTCCACACGAACACAATCTCCAGACATGTTACCTCCGATCCCAACCGTGCGTATCCTGGAGGCCAAATCCCCACCGTCGTTTCTTCTGTCCTGGGAACGTGGCTTACGAATGCTAAACAATCTGACCGAACCGATTGTGTATGTGCTACAAGTGAAAACCTATTTCGGTCCCGAGTTCGACAATCGGTTGTCCAGTGCATGGAAAACACTGGTCATGGTAAGCGTCGATTCTCGTGCTGCCTATTTGCCCCAGATCCGATGGGAGAAACTCACCTGCTACTGAGGGCTGCATCAGACACGAAATTAGAGTTAAGCAACCGGTGGGCAGTGCAGATTCGTACTACAGCCGACTGATAGTTCGCTCTAAAGGTTGATGTGCACCGAAGCGATTGTTTGTTAGGCAAACTGGATCGTTCCTGGACCGTGGTCTAGTTTATTCCGTCACTGATTCATTTTTCTATGTCCTGTGGTTGTCCCGTAAAGGTGGCGATTTTCGAATTTATCCTTTACAAAGATCTTATCTTGCCCCCTCCTCCAGCCGTATGGTTGATCTTCGCAGTGGGCATGGGAGGT